GGCCTCTATCATCTGTTAGAATAGCAATGAATTGTCTGGAACAGATGGTTATATTCTGCTGAAAGAGGGAGAGAAAAAAAAAATCCAGTGTTCCATTATTCCATTATCAGCAAGCAAGAAATTATCTAGACAGATCCCATGTCATTCCGGTTTCTCATGACTGGATTTAGACCTGAATTCTGATTAACCTAAAATCACCACTAATGTCAGTATTAATAATGAATGAAGGGATGTTTGTATAACACCGTGGGCAAATGAGTCAATACACACACACACACACACACTTCAAATTAATAGGAATTCCATTACTGAAAGTTGCTTGAAATGTATTTTCTAAAAGTTGATATTGGATGATGACCTTTTAGAATATCTGTGCATGTGCTCAGGTAATTGTTTGCCTGAACTGTCAATAGTGGCACAGACAGATCAGAAATGGTCTGCTATAATGTACACCATTATGCTGTGCCAAGTACTAATGTGCAGGCAGCTGTCGCTGTGTCAGAGTTCACTGCATTCAACCTGATCTTCTAGATAGACGAGGTGGCCTCCAAACCTCTAGGGGTCACTCTCTAAATTATGAACACTGATGCTGAAAGTCAATTTCCAAATGTGTATTTCACCTTGCCTATGTACTAAGCTATTCTAATGAGGTTGAAGGTTGTTTACTAGTTTTTTAGTAGTTTTCCCAATGACTTACAGTTACAAGCCATTTTTTTAATGTTGTGACCAGGACATGTTACTAAAAATTGGTTGAAATTCCATTGACTGCATGTAGCCTACTGTGATAATTTGCTTTTCGGTATGCAAAGGGGCATGTGATGATCAGAGCCCAACACGATCCCTTTGTCAGTAAGTGCTGCGATTCAATGGATAAATCAAGCCTCCATTAAGGAGCCGGCTTCTCACAAGGAAGAAAGTGCACTTAAAAGACATCAACCCTGCCAAGAGCAAACCCTTAATTATCTTGACTTGAACACAGGCATGCCGATCTTCTCCTCTACGCCAGTGCAACGCAAATTCCGGTGATCCTCGCTATGCATCGTTGATGTGAACCGACCATGTGGTATTTTATTATTAGCATGAGTTACAAGTGGCGCTGATTAGACAGCGACACACTATGTGACAAAACGTTGCGGTACTCTTAGAAGAAACCACCACTGGTTGTTCCATGATAGTGGCTGTGCAGATATCATCTGAGATGCGGTCCGATAACTTTGTACGGAATTGCGTGTCGCTTGGTCCCAGAAGCGGTCGATGAGTAGCTAAACAACCGATGTCTGATCGAAAAGCATTTTCAGTGAAAACTCTAGCTCTGGAGTGTTCCCACTCTGAGGCACGCCACAAAAATAGGTTTTGAGAAAATGAACAAAAGACACAAAGTCCAAGTCACCTTACCACATTCTTAAATAAGCAAAATTAACTTCAGTTAGTTGCTGCGATGGTGCGTATTTTCTCACAGAGACAGTAATTTAATTTGAAGTAGCTCAAAGGGAAATGCGCAGACAGATTTAATTTGAACCGCTGTAAAAGTATTAATTCACGTACAACACAGCAGACACACGCAAATAAAATCGCATTTTACAGTTTTTAATCAAGGAACGCAAAGATATCGTAAAACGTTTTTATTAGGGAACTTACTGTCAAGCGACATCTGGGAATAGTGGTATCGTTAAACCCTTTCTCTCGATGTTGTTCTGTATGGTAGTGATGTGAGAACCGAGACTCATTCACTCAATGGAAACCAAAAAAAGAGCCAGTGATAATTGGGCTAAAGCAGCCAGTTGCTGGCAGAGCACACCAGTGCTCACCTACCCAGAGCTTCCACGCTCCATTTCTCCATCTCTTCTGATGCCTTAAAAACACAGCATGAACACCCTTGGAGAAGACGAGAAGGGTTGAAGTTCTTTAGGGTACCTCATGGTTAGATTTCCTAATCCTCGGGACTGACGACGCTAAGACCACCGGCTAACAGACAATCTGAGCTCCAGCGCCTGAACACACTACGCGTGTAATTCCACTTTTTAAAAGGCAAACTTTTTCAGGTTGACCTCCTTCCCCCAAACAATTTCGCAATGCGAGCGTAGCCTTTTAAAGCCAATTCAATCATCAACACATGCATGCAGGCCGCTTTCATTTACCAGCTCGAGACGCATATCTAGCATGACGAATGTGCTTAATTCGCTCAGATATCTTTTCCTAGCCTACAAATTATGCTTGGGCTTGAAAAGAAATTCGTACAAAAACTCAATTTCTTGTTTAGTTGCAAAAGCAAGGTTTCCATAGGAATTGAGAGACTAGGCCTGGCTCCAATTCCTAGCCTCTTACGTCGTCTCCATGTCTGTCAATATTTATTTGGTGCTGAAGGTTATTACTCAGCCAAGCACCATTCTACCCCAGTGACTGGAAACAATCAATTAAAACACCATTAAGCTCAGCTGAATTGGTCAAAGGCTGTCTGAGACTGGGCGGGGGTGGGGCTGCTGTGGCTTTAGACTAATACATCAAGTGCCATGTACAGTAACTCAACCCCCGCCGAGAACTTGACTCACACTTGGGAATGTGAGGTATGTTTTCACTGTTGACCTGGCATGCATCAGGATGGAAAACAGAAGGTGAATTAGGGAACAGTACACACTAAATTTGGTTCGATCCTATTTTCTGTATCCACTTGCCCTATTCAAGGTTGTTGGGGTTCTGGAGCCTATGGACGCAAGGCAGGGAAGAACCCTGGGTGGGAACGCCTGCCTGTTTCAGGGCACACATGCCCATGGATGATTTGGTAACTCAAACTCTTCTTGGCATACTTTTGGACTGTAGGGGGGAAACCAGAGAACCTGGAGGAAACCCTATGATGACACGAGGAGAACATGCAAACTCCACACATGTGAAGCCATGACAGAGACTCAAACCCTGGTCCTAGAAGTGCGAGGCGGCAGTGCTAACCACTGGGCCACCGTACCAACCCCTATATTTGCCTTCATCTTTGGAATTCTGCAGTCAATTCCTAAAAAAAAAAACGCAGTATACAAGTCGTACAGTAAAATCAATGCCCAACATCTGAAGTTCCAAGCATTTTCAGCCTCATGAGCTCAAAAGTAGCAGGACCTAAATGAAAATGTGTGATAATCCATATTTATCTTTATATCTTGTATCTGTGTGGAACCGATGATTCTTCACACAGAGCCTGCTGATGGTCGGTTTGTCAGACAAATGTAAGATATGTTTGCAACTTCTCCATAAAAAACAGGCACCCCCCCGCCTTCACCAGAGATGCTCTGACAGCTGGCAGGATGT